TAAATAATATTAATAATTTAAAACGTATTTTATAAATTTACTTAACAAAAAAATTTATTAAATTTAAATACGATCCGAATTTATAAAATTTTAAATTTATTTCTATGTTTAAAAAAATTAATATTTTAGTTTAAAAGTTAATTCTTTACTTTAAAAAATAATAAAATAAAATAAAATAATAAATAAATATTTACCGAGGAAAATCCCAGACGTCACTTTTGATTGCATAAGTTTTTGTTTAGATTGCTGGAGAAGAAGGTAAGAATTATTTCTAAATATTTCCATTTTAATTAATAAATTGTATGTGTTTATCAGATAATTCAAGACTTATAAATGCTAATTAAAGACTCTAATTAAGAAAAACGAAATTAAATCAGTTAAAATCAATTGTAAATTGTTTACTTTATTGATTTATTATAATTCTTGAAGAATCCGATGTTTTCACTCGGTTATGCAATTAACTTCCCATTTAAAAATGCTTAATCGATATTAATTAACCGAAATTTCTTCCAAAATATTAAATATTTGTGATTTGTAATTCATCTTTATTGTTAAATTTGTTTATTTTGACAAAATTAATTGATGAATTAATAAATATTGTGACTTTAAATGAGAACTTACTTTGTTTTTGTTTTTTTCTTCTGTAAATCCATATTTTCTGTTTACTGTATTGATTCTTACAAGTTAATATCTTTATTGATTGTATTTTATATTAAACTATATCATTATTTTCTTTATATATTTTTTAACATATGTCTGAATATATATATGTATGTCAATTGCAAAATTTTAAAGTATTTCATCATAGAAATGGAATTCATGTGTTAAAATATGCTCCGGAAAGAAATTTTTAGTGAAACGGAAATGTTTTCGACGCGAGTTTATAGGTCGGAACGTTATCGAATCTTCGGCCGACGAAGACCCGTATAAACTTGGGCAAAAAACAATTTTATTTCTGGAATTTCTTCGGTTTTTAGAATAATTATATTTCGTGATAGTTTCTAGCGTAGATAATTTAGAAGAATATTAAACTTACTCTGATATTTGGACAAGTTTAATTGTAAATAACAATTTCTCTGTTCGGTACTCTTCTGTTGTTATTTAGGTGATAAAATTATTACCTAAATAATAATTTTAATTTAAAAAATTTGAGTAATTGTTTTCAAAATTCTAACTTTGTACGAATAATAAATTATGGGAAAAAAAGTTACTTAAAAAGTTGTTTATGTTCGATAACATCGTTGTTTATCATTTTATTAAATGCAGTTGTCATTTTATGTGATGTGTATTTAGATATTTTCATTGTATGAAATCTGTAAGCTGTGAAATTATAATGTAGTAAAAATAAATTTTGAAAAATTAAAAATAAGAAAATATCTATTGTATTTTCAATCTTTAGTAGTGAACTTCGGACTACATAAATTAGAATGTAAACATACATTTCAAATGTCTCTTAGACCAAAACTAAACTTGCCCTCACCTGATGGAAAATTTATTACTTCCTGATAAGATAGTGTTGACAATACTCTCTTATTAGAAACCTCTTCCCTTAGCTTGTCTCATATAGGATCTCTGGTTTCAATGAACTTCCTCTGGCTGATCTTTTATTCAGTTTATTTTATTTTTTCTGATGTCTTCTTTTAAGGCTTTTCTGTTTTCCATCAATTTTTATTATCATAATCTTCCTTCTCGTGTAGTTTTCTTCTTTTCTCATAATATACGAACCATCTTGATCTTGCTTCTCTTTTTCTCGGCCAAGTCTATTATGTTTGTTGTTTCCCTTATACATTCATTTCTAATCTGATCTAATTTCATCAAGTCTCACATCATCACAGANAAAAAAAAAAAAAAAAAACATTACAGGGATATTGATACATTGCAAGGTTTAGCGAATTTATTGGATTAACCCTCTAATAAAAATATATCGTTTGATCAGTTTTAAATGATATCATTTTTGAAGTTGCTTTTGGACATTTTCAAATAAACAAATGATGTGAGATTGAAATGATATGAAATGATGAAATGATGTTGCTTATGAAATTATTTTTTTGGACAGTTTCATATGATTTCATATGACTGATATTAACTGTCAATTGACAAAACAATTTTAAGTGATCACTTGATACAAGTAATATAATAAGATCCACTTTCTAAACTGATTTGATATAAACTAATATAAAATCCAACAATGCACTGTTATTGCCAAATAACGTCAATTGACATCAGTTGAGTGGTTGAGACCCAAACTGGTTCATATCACAACATGACAATTTATGAAAGCTTGCTATTGCACATCATTAAAGTATATATTGTTCAGTGTTGTAGTGATTCAACAGATATCACTACTATTTCATCATGTAAATAGTTGTTAAGCAATGGTCATACCTAGCAATTTCCAGCCATGCAGGCAACTTCAATGAGCGTGAGTTGTGTCTCTCTTGTCATGGCCACATTGTTGGCATTGAAACTCGGAAACATTAAACAAACATTCACTTTGCCTACTGTCTTCTACTTTTTTTTAATGCAAGCGAATGTCATTTGCAAAGGATGATACTTTTTACTTAGTTCTTTAGTTATATTTAAAAATAATAATGTTGTTATTAAAACAAAATTAATCAACATTTTATATCCAGAAATCTGAAGATGGTACCTGCAATCAATGCTGAGATTTTTGCTCATCTCGTGCTATGCTTGTGCTCCTTTATCTTTTCTTTGATAAAATGAAGAATTAAAATTCCACAAACATTTGTGATCCTGAGTAAGATTGATCAATTTCAATTCTATAAAAGCTGCACCAGACCTCTCACTTTCTGCCATGATGATGAACTATTTTCAAAATTGCCACTGTATATGGCACGGCACAAAAGCATTTTATGATTAGATGCATGTTTATAATCAGCATGAGTAGAACAAACTTTTGTTTCTAGTGTCAGTTGCAGTTGCACTGGTTCTTGGATGGGTTTTCTAGTTATTGGGAACAGCTGCTGCAGTTGGCTGCACACTGGAAATTGCCATTTCTGACCACGGCTTTAAACATAGTGCATTTGACAACCTTTTAATAATTTAAATATATGTGAGAGCCAGATCAGTTCATGTGTATCTTATGCAAGAGATTGGTTGCATGAACTGGTATAGCACCTGATAGGTAGCAGAAGTTTATTAATTAATGACTACTTCCAGAAAGAAAAGCACATGTGGTATTAATGTCACTAAAAATGAAGAATATGAACAAGGTTATAGTACTCAGAAAAAGACTAGGACCATAATCCTGTCAACTGGTTGAACATAAAGTGGATGGGTTTCCAACAAATCAGCCATTGTGCATGCAGTTCAAGTATAATATAAATGAGGCTAATAACTTCAGAGAACTCAGTTTTGATGCAGTTATGAAGGAAAGGAAAACCACATTTGCTAAAGGAATCATCACAGCTCTACAGTGGACCTACACCCATTAACAAAGAGAAACTAAAGAATCTCATGGAGCTTCTCTAGTTTATTCTGGCATCACATGCATATTATACAGATTTAATTTTGGTTAAGGATGAGGTTGATGTCAGTGAAGATCCTGGAATCAACAGCTATGGCAATCAGCAATAACTAAATTTGTATACTTTCTGAAAACACATTTCATTCCAAGGAATTATAAATAAATTGAGTAAGATTGAAATTAAAATGCATATTATGTATTATTTTATGTTGTTTTAAAGAATGCTCTAGGCTACTACTAAATCCTGGTATAAATCTGCCCTGAAAGTAATGTTATGGTTTGATTACTTACATAAACCGCTTTTTGCAAATAACAAATAATTCTGAAACATTTCTGGCTTGTACCATAATGATTTAAGTGCATTTGTTATCTAATGGCTTCCAAGTTAAAAATCAAGCATCTGTTCTAAAAATAATTTTAATATTGATTTGAACATTTATTGAATTTAAAAAATTATTTACTTTTAATTTCAGAAGCAAAATTGAAATAAATTTTGCTTCCAGTTATCTCAAAACTACTGTAATGTTACCCGGAGCTCTAGTTTGCTATGCTGAGAAGTTGCCAAACAACATTTACCTACATCAGAATCAACTCTACTCAACTCACTGTTGTAACTTGAAGTTGAACATCAACTGGTTTGTAAGTTTGCTTGGTGCATGCACAATAAAGACTTTATAAAGTTGTTTATTTCAGGCTAAACAACAACTGCATTTATTTAGTAATACAAATGGAGAGAAAAATTGAACATGTGCATGAGGTGTCATTTAGTAATATGACAATGAAGTAGATAATGGCAAAGCAGCTCAAACTGATGATTAATTCTTTGGATGAACATAAAAATATGATAGCTAGAAAACTTTTTTCATGTACAGCATAAGATAGTCAGACTATGGAAGGATTTGACTACTTTTCTGAATACTGTTGTCACTCATTCCCCTAAAATCTCAGATAAATGGAAAAAGTAAAGGTATGTTTGCTAGTTTTAAATAATAACCAAATAATGTAATCAGCAGTTTTAATAATGAATTGGTTTATTATAGGAAAATTAATATAATTTCTTATATTAGGCCTGTATTATATTTAAATATACAGTGTGTACTGTAGATCAGTAAAAGTATAGCTCATTGAAACATTATATTACTAGTTAAAACTAAACTAATGAGTCTCCAATGTTTGTATATTAATACACACAATATACAATTTTAAATATTTAGTAGAAAACTTTAAAAAAAAAAAAAAAAAACTCTTGTTATATGCAGTTAAAAGTTTTATTAGCATACTTAAAAATTAATTTTAAAAATTTATATTAAAAAAGTGTTCTTTTAAAAGTAAAATGTGTATTATTAATATTTGCAGTGAAATGATTTAATTTATGTAACTTTGTAGACGTGAAATGATTTTAAAAGTAATGTGAAATAAAATGTATTGATGATGAAAAAGAAATCTTCTGGAAAGACTGGTAGTTGGGTTACTGATTAGCCATGTGAGTTGTTACAATGTATTGAGGTGAGAAGAGTCAAATGTAACAGATAATCATGACATTTGGAAAGTCATTTCTCTGCGGACTGAGCTATGATAAGAAATTCTAGCAAGATGAGAACATACATATCACATCAGACATCACAAATCAAATCTTACAAGGAGATCTTACACAGCAGATTAGAGCTACTTAACCATTCTCTTAACTATTTAGTTGATATATTCAGAATTTAAAACTGTAAAGATCATTTCTAACATCAATTAATGATCTTAATAAATAAATGTTTGAATTCACAAATAATTTATTTAACTATAATGATGATTTAAAAAAAAAGGCTGTAAATTTGTAAAATTTTATGCAAAACAATATAAATTTACAGCTTTTTTTTTAATCATTATAACTAAATGATTTTATGGGAAGCAATTCTATTTATTAACATGATTATGCAAATTAATAACTTGGATGTGTCTGTTGTGATTTAACAGAAATCCAACCTTTAAATTTAGGATAATGAAAAGGTAAAGAACATAGACTAAACAATTAAATGTAAATAAAATTCTCCTGAGTTCACAATCATCAAATTTGGTAAAAAGAACTTGCTAATTCTTTCAAAGAAATATTTAGTACCTGTCAAGAAGCAGTGAATATAACTTAACATATGCATGCACAGTACAAAATTATTCTAAAATTGGAATATGGAAACAGTAGACCAAAAAACTCATTAATTACATTTCAATTAATCTCTATTGATTGTGATTATTTTCAAGTTAAAACGTAATTTCAAATGATGATGATTTTTATTTTGATTGCTTATTTTATTTTTAATATTTTTCAGAACATACTAATGAGTAAGAAACAATTGATAATCTATAAAATGAAAGTATCATAATAGTGATATTAAACTTCCTAAAGTTTATTTTAAAATCTTTAGTTGTTATTATGTAAGGTTTCCTCAGTTTATAACAGATTGAACAGATATTAATAGTTTATCATCATAATTACTGTATTGCTTTGAAATTTATTTTATGTAATATCCATATTTCAGTAATTGGCTGGCTGATACTTATTTATTGTGATTATTGTTTTTCCATTTAGTAGAATATAGTATCCAAAAATATCATATTAATAGATAATTGGATATCAAACTGATTGCTGAAACTTTGTCTTAGTACAAATAAAATTGTTTTTCATCTGGAAAAAATCTTTTTAATTTCTATAAAATTATAAAGTATTTTATGATAATGTGTAATGAATAATATAGCTAATAAAAGTAACGGTATTATTCATTTCACATTATCATAAAATATTTTATAGACTTTTTTAACTTTTAAATTTACTGTAACTAATATAATAGGTAGCAAAAATAACTTGTGTCATATGATCTACATTGAAATTGTACATATATATATATTTTAATATAAAATTCAAGTAATTAATCTTATGTAATTTTTATTTTTTATTTGAATCATAATATAAATTTATCAGAAACAATAGCAAGTTTTTACTTTGATATTTTCAGATATAATGTTCATTTTTACAGTGTGAAGGGTTCCTAACCTATAAAAACGATTAGGTGAACATGCCAAGATAATATCTGTTAAAATGCTAAAACATTACTGCCTATTGGCATTAAAACACTTTTTATTAATACAAGCACTTTCAACATTTCCATCAATCTCAGGTAGAAGAATAATTCAATTTTTAAAAAAAGAAACACTCCTGGCCATTCTGTTTTTTAAAGCACTATTTCATCTAGGGTACCTTGGGCAAGTTTCCCTTCAAAGATTTTTTTCCTCCAAAAAAATCCAAGTAAGCACTCATAAAACATATGTTTGTAAAATTAAATAAACTCATTCTTACAAGTACAGATCTAGCTAAGCTGAGTGATGCTGAAGCTTCAGAAGTTGTGTATATGTAATACAACTTTCATCCAAGGAAAATGCAGTTGCTAATACAAACATTACAGTTTCTGTCCCCATTGTGTGCAGATTATTAAAACTTAAAAATGTCACAGGGTCCTGAAATAAAGCATTAGTGAAATGGTTCATAAATCCTTAATAAACTAATGTTATATGATAAGATCTCTGTTCTCTCCCCTACTCCATCCCTGTTCAAGACAAATTTTTCCAGATCCTGGAATCTGGATAAAATAGTGTCTTTAACACTTTCACTAAGTTGATGCAATTGTGCATTTTCTAGATGCTTGAAGTTTTTGCTAAATTGCACATGCATTATTTTTTGGATGTTACTTATTACTACTTGGAAGTATATGAAACTTAGAGATTATTATTTTATTACTTGGTTTCTTAGTCCCCAAAAATATTCAATTATAATAATAATACTTTATTGTCAATAAAATTGTTTTTTCTCTGTTATTGGGAGAGAATATGAAATAAAAGATAAGCAAAAATTAATGATGATTACATGTTATCTTTTAGTCCATAGAGAACACTCAAATATTTCAAATTGAATTGATATAGTATCTATAATACTTTTAGAATTAGTTGAGAGTTAAATTCCTTTTCTTCTTGATACAAAATTACCAAACTTAAATGGTTATGTAACTTCCAAATTACTGTTGGTGTTTTTTAAGTAAATTATGAAGTTCTTCATGTGTTAAATTCTTCCAAAAATTTAAATTTTTTTTTACTCTTTCTCCTTTCTTGTACATTCAAATAAAATATATGTTAATAAGCACCATTGATGACAAAATTGACAATACTTGAATTTAACCTCATTTGCATATAGACTTTAAAGAATATTTAAAGGCACTAGATTTGATAAGATATTTTATATATTGAAACCAATGGTAGAATTGGATATGCTGAGGAATTTATCCATATTTAATGATTGAGTCAGTCAGTAATTTTATACTGAGATTTTATTTTCTCATATAACATAGACTTCCAATGAAATTCCATATTTAACATATCCTCTATCTCTAGGTACCAATTTCACTTGATTTTGTGTCTCATATTATATGATTTAATTTAATTTCAGACAAATGTTTATTATTTCATTTTTTTGAATTGTTGATCCTAAAGATAAGAGGGGATTCTTTGCAATAGTGTGGTATTAATTTTAAATCTTCAAAAGTTTATAACAGACAGTACAGTCCAAATATATTAGGTTCTAACTGATAAAGTATTCTAATAAATTGTAATTGTGTCATCTCAGCTTTATCCATTAATGTGATATTTAAGTAGGTGCTGCATAGAATGTTGATGTATGAATTATTGATTTAAATTCTAAACAGTTCAAAATGAATTTGAATAGTTGGTATTTACATTTATCTGGTTGGATATTTTAGCTTTGCTTTCAATCTTGTGAGGATTTTCTTTTTTTAAAATGTTTGTCAAAAGAAAGACCAGGTGTAAATAAAAAAACCCCAAATACAGTAAAATGTCTCTAACTCAAATGTTTGTAACTTGAATATTTCTTTAACTCAAAGAAATTGAAGCCATTGATCTCAATGGAATAGCATAGGGATTTAATGTCTCCAACTTGAATTTCCTTAATTTGGATTTTTTCTTAAGTCAAAAGTTTTTATGGTCTTTTGATACTGATTTATATTACTTTCAAATTCCCTGACTTGAATTTTAATATATATTCTATCCAAAGTAATCCTAATTATTGAATTTTTGTGAAATTTTCAGACAGTTACTTTTATCTACTGTCCAACACCCATTTACAGACAACATTCCAGTCCAAAGTGAGAGGACCTCTCACTTTCTCAAGATGTACCTGCAAAACTGTGATTCCATTAGTTATAATGAATATTTTGCTGAAAGGCATTACACAAGCTGTTTGAAACAAAAAAAAAGTATTAAAGATTCTTTACATAATGCAAGAGAGGTAAAAATATGGAATCAGCATTTTTTACTCTATTGTTCTCTAACCCAAATCGTCTGTAACTCAAAGCTTTTTCCTGTTCCTTGGAGGTTTGAGTTAGAGAAGTTTTACTGTATTTAAATTGAGACAATTTTCAGCACTGTTCCTTCCAAATAAAAAATTATTTTTTTTCCCTCTTTCAGCTAATGTGCCTTCTTGAAGAAAGATAATTATTTTTTATTTCAAAGGATTAATTTATTGTCTATTTTCTTTACAATAACTTTCGACTAAATTTATTTTTCTCTGAAGGGTGCTATTATTGCAATGCCATCCACATCAATTATACTATGAATAGTTTAATTTCCTGAGAATATTTAATTATAGTTGTTTGTCATTACTTATATACATTTGTGCCAAAGACTTAATTTCATGTCATCATATATAATTCCATAAAGATTGTTCAAAATGAAAAAGTATATATTTTTTATTTTTAATGTAAATGAAATATTGACAAATTTTATGGAAAAAAATTTGTCATATTCTGTGTAGTTTTCTTTTTCAATCGGTAGCAGCAAAAGTGCTAAGAAAATTGCATTTTCTAAATTTTCTTACTCAATTGAGCATACATTGTTTTAATAAACTTAAAATGCAAAATTTACTATTAAATCTAAAAATACAAATACTATTTATCAGATTTAATATAGTTTGTTTTTTAATGTAACATGTATAACATAACATTTTATCATAATTCATTTCTATTATTTAAAGTTTTTTTCAAACATTATTAAATAATCTATGAATTGCTTTTTTTTTTATTTTGTATAGGCAAATTAAAATTTCATTAACTCTGATAAAATTATATCAGTGTTTCACCATATCATTTGACTCTGGTAAAATAAACATTCTATCATGGAAAATATCAATATGAAAATACTCTAATCTGCTGTATAGATGATACATTCTTGAAAACTGACATAATTTTCTGATTATTAATTTTGTATATCTAATCTTAGAAGATATTTTTTTTACAAAAGTATTGGATTAATTTTTTTAATATAAATGAAACATTAAAACTACCTTCTTCTTGGATTACTGGAACTAATCAAACAAATCAATAACCTTTAAACACCAGTAACATAAGTTTAAATAACTTATGAATGGAATAACTAATGGAATAACAAACATACATTCAAACAACTTATGTTTGTTCTGAGCATTCCATTTTGGAATATGTTTTGTTAAAAACCTGAAGCAGGTCTTGGATAAGGCCGAAAACATTCAAAGTTTTCATTAAACTTACATTACTGGTGTTTAAAGGTTATTGATTTGTTTGATAAATGAAACAATTGTAAAGCTTGTTTTCAAAATACTATAACACCAGTTTATTGAATATTATTAACATCACTTTTAATAACCTATTACTTACCATAATAGTTTAAAATCTTTTATAAAAAGAACACACTAAGGTAATGACGATGAATAAATTTGGAATAAAATCATATGCCTATATCAAATTTAAGATTTCCACAACTTTGCCTTACAGCATTTTTACTGGAGAGTCAGTTTGTCACTCACTGAAATTTGACATTGCAAATATCAGTATGCTATGTCTAGTATGCAAAAGTATGGGATTGAGAATGCAAATATTGTGTAACATTATGGCCAACAATCTAACCAAAGTTGGACTGCCCTCCATTGGGTAAAGGTTAAGATGTGCATGGCTTGAATAGGCTTAATGGATTAGATCTTCAAAGTTTATATGGCTAGTTTAATTTCTGTCTATATAGGTTTTGATGGTATCTGGCACTACATCTTTGACTACTTCATGCTGACAGATAGTAGACACTCTTCAAACTTTACTCATTATGAGTAATGCTTCCTGATCCTGTGAGTTAAACCATCTTCAAAGAAACAAAGATGTATTTAAATATTTGCTAATTATTATTATTAATATTTATTACTAATTATAATTATTAATATTTATTAAACTGTTTAACATTAAGAACTACAATATGCTATCTCTATTTCATTCCTGTGTATAATGAATATAACTGCTGTATATTTTATGTCATATGTTCTTTACAGAGCAGATTATTGTTCACTTTCATCATCTAAAAGTTCTCTTTTTATTTTATCTCCACTCTATGTAATGTATATATTGTCAACTTAGATTTATAAATTTGTGTACTCTCCATTCAAATGTACTAATTTTTTTAGTTTTGTATCTATGTTTATCTATTGTAAATAATTGTGTAACCTCTGTACAAGAAAACAGCAAACCAGAACTGCATGATCAAACAACCAATACCTAAATGTGATTTCCAGCAAACAGTAAATAAAAATTTTATTCCTCAAACATTTTTGGCCATCATTTAGAGGTCGTCATCAGGAATGAATACATAAAAAACAGTTCTATCATTCAAATCTCACTGCATTTAATTGTTTTAACATTTAAAAAGATGTTCGATAAGGATAGTGATCCATCATTTACAGCACAAAATTAAATAATTTTACAAGGTATAATATTACAAATAAAATTATTATTATTACATTCTATGGCAATCTAGTCATCTAGCTTATATGCCCATCTGACAGGTCTGTCAGATGGGCATATAAGCTAGATTTTTTTAATGACTAGATTTCTAAATTCTAGTCATAAAAAAAAAATTGTGTACTGTATATCTAAGCTTGTCATTTTATGCCCAGAGCAATTGTTGAAGAATTCTGGACAATTTTTTATTTTTCTGAAAAAAAAATACCTAAAATTGCAAAAATTAACATATAAATGAGAATTTAGACAAAAATTTTTTAAAATTTAGTGCAAACTGGGCATGAAAGAAAACATTTTTGGGCATGGGACAATAAAAATTCTTGCCACACTGTCTTATTTATAAGTATGTATCAGTGCTGTATTTCTTAACAGTTGTAATATCTTCAAAGTATTTCAGTTTGTAATGTTGTACAAAGTACACAATAAATGCATTTTAAACTAAAATTCTTATCATGACACATTATTAAAAACTGTTTAAAAAGAATTAAGGAATACATTAATTATATAAAATGATATATTTTAACAGATTATTTTAAAATAAATATAAATGAAAATATTTTAATTTCAAAATATTTTTGTTTGGATTTTTTTTGACATTGAAATAAATCAAATACTTTATATGATGATCGTCTTTAAACCAGTAGAAAATTGTGTTTTGGCAGGCTTTCAGTATCATTCTCAGTAATATCCCTAGTGAAAAATTATCTACACTGCTGGCCAAGTAAAATGCAACACCTGCAATATCTAGAGTCCTACATTGTGTTGCATTTTACTTGGCCAACAGTATATTTAAATTTGTTAATGCTTTTATTTTAATAAAAGTTCTCTGCTAGATTGAAGGTTATGCTTGTTTAAGAATATAATTCTGATAAAAAGAATAACAATGGTTGTTTCTTTCATTGTGTATGTCATCTTTATGAATTATTTTTTTTTATGAATGTTTTATTTTCACTTGTCCAAATTTAATCTCTTATTATGATATAAAAAATTTAAGCTAAGTGTTTGGAAGTTGTTCTGATTTATATACAAATTATGTTTTATGACTGTTATGTAGACTTTTATTTAATGTTAAACTACTCAGAATCATTAAATAAAAGTTTCCTTTATCACCAGATTTCTATCCTTAGTCTTGCACCTTTACAAAGGTTCATCTTCCTCTTTGGACAGTATTGATTTTAATTTAAAGAATGAGGTGTTTGTTTTGTAGCATGACACTTTTCAAATTTTAGCTATTAGATTTTATTTATATTGAGAATGAATATTTAAGATTTATTCTTTTCTTATATTAGTTGCATTTAAAATATTATTAATTTATCAATAAAATGCTTTAAGTTCTTTTAATATATATTTATATAATATTTTTTTTTCTATATTACAAGTGAGGCAGTCTTTTAAGGAGATAGTCAACATGCAACCGCAAAATGAATATGGTACTTATCCTCAAGGAGCACCATATCCTAAAGCATATCCTGGAACACAACCTCCACCACCTGGATTTCAAATGGGAACTGCACCTCCAACTGGTATGAATATTTTTGTAATAAAATTTACTTAAAATTAATATTTAATACATTCATATTAAAATATTCTTTTGTGATAAATTAGAGAAGATGGGATAATTCCAGTAATTTCAGTTGAGAGATTGAGAATATTTTAGATTATATTTTCATTAATTATTTTAAATTTAACAAAATAAGTGGAAACAATATAAATGTGATAAATTTAAATGATTTTCAACTTTCAACAATTTTCACAAGCACATTTGACAGCTAATTCAAATCTTTCATATTTAGGTGAAAATTCATAATCAGTAGGATTACAAATTTGGTATGGTGTGTGTAATTGAAGTTTTAAATATGACAAATTGACATGTAATTTCAAATACATTTGGGTTGCATTATGCATTGCCTATAATTGATCTTGCAACAAACCTATTAGTATTCCTAGACCAATTGGGTACCTTTATAAACTTTTTAATTAAGGTGTTTGTATAGAAATGATTAGTCTTGTATATCCAAAAGTTTAATTTATTTATCTTATTATATATTCTTTTTTAATGAAATCTTTGCTATGCATTGTGTATTTGAAATTACAAGTTTGTTTTGAGATTTTAATTTTGCTCTGTTTCAAATTTGCAAATCTGTTCTGATAAATTTTGCATGACAGGATTTAGTATTTTTGTCTTCTGATATCTGTCTCTTATCTGACATTTATCCAATTTAAATAATGTCTTATTGCCTAAATAATTTATTACTGGGAAGATAAATAAATGAATAATTGTCTTATCACTTGTTTAAATAGAAAATTTATTTATTGGACTACAATTTAAAAAACTGTAGACCTATAAATTCCCACTATTGTCTGTCCATCTGTTTGTCTTTCCTTAATCTCAAGAATGGAGTTAGGTAGATGAAAGATGAGACCAGATTTGGAAAGCTTAGGGGCAGGAGGTTCCAATTAACAACATACGAACTTCTGATGCAAGCTGGAAGTTGTGTTATTTTAATTCAAAAATTTTTCACTGAAAGATGTTAGCTAGATGAACAGCACAACTCTATTGTTAATGGAAAAGAATGATTTACAGGGGCAAACACTACTAATTTGGGGTGGAGAGCATATATTTTAAATTTAAAAAAATTAAAAATATGATTAAAAATTGCAACCTGGCATTGTGATGATGTCACAATAAATAATTGCTCATTACATGAGTAATCACAACAAACACACATACAGAAAAAACTTGTGTATACATATACAGTATATTGGGATTATTTGTGTGTATAGAGTTGTCAAAATTGAAAAGTGTTTTAATTATTATTTATAACAATTTAATATGTTATTTCTTTGTGTAATTATTTACAATTATTAAAATAACAACTTAATAATTTAGAATAATAAAAAGCATTCTACAATTTAGGATAATAATAATAATATGTACAGGTAACCCCGTATAACACGGTAGTTACGTTCCAAAAAATTGCCGTGTTATGCGAATTTGTGTTATACGAAACAAAGAACTAATACGAAAAGGAGGGTTAGGTTCCAAAAATTAAAAAAACATGCTAGTATATTTTCATAATTAAGATAAATATCTTCATTAAAATTTTTTTAAGTGATACATATTAATATAAATTAAACAATGCTTTCTTCGTCATCACTAAAAACACTATTAATTAACCGAGACCGTTTTCTTTTTGGCAAGTTATCCTTATCCTCTGAGCATTTTTCTGCATTATCTTCAGATCCATGCTTTACCTTTTGCAAAATGTATGTAATTTTAGATTGCTTGCTTCTAGTTAAAAGGTCTTTATAAATTTCCTTATATGGTGCTAAGCACTTATGAAGAATAAAGCAAGTATGGAATAAGGGAAAAACATTCGGCAACATCAGAAGCAGAAGCGTCGAGATCTGGCAACATTGAAACAAGTTTTGAGAAGGACCACGTGTATCGACAGAAGGCGAGAAAAGAAAATTTACATACTTAAGTACTAATAGTTCACGAAAATAATAATTTTCGTGAACTATTATTACTTAAGTATGTAAAAATTTATTACATTTTCTGTTGTACGAGGGTTTTACCCAATTCTCGAACCGTGTCAGAGTGAATCCGTGCTATAAAAGTACCGTGTTATATGGGGGGTGGTACCAATTCTCAAACCGTGTTAGAGTGAATCCGTGCTATAGAAGTGCCGTGTTATACGGGGGTTACCTGTATTTATATCAATTAAAATAATTAATTTGTAGAAATTGTTTATAATTTATTGTGTTTTTATGATAATATTTTAATATAAATAACAAATAATCCAGTAAGAAGAAATACATATCTTTTCCCATGACTATTCCTTATTTATTAACTATTACATAAAATCATGGTTCTTCAATCTGCATTTCATTTTCTTCGTTATCATCAGCTTTATCAGTCTTCATTTGTGAATTCTTAATATGTTTTACAATTTCTACATTAGTCAAGTCGATTTGATCACATCATTATTGATTATAGTGAATTCATCAGTAACAGATAGATCAACTTTCAAGAGATTTGTAGTATTGTGTTTTGAATTCATTCTGAAAGGAAAATGTCATCTTTTGACAGAAAATCGTCATCTGTAAGTTTCAATTGGATTTAACAGTTACAATTTGTGGCAGGAATGATGTTATTTTGTTCTCTTTTTTATACTTGAATTATCCCAAGAACTGTAACTGTTGAGATCTTATTTTTTTCAAGCCTTTTATAACTTTTCTGAGCAAAATCTTTCAATAATGATGATGTAGATTTTGAATGATTCCTTTATTTGTTAGTTAAATTATACTTGTCATATTTGGAAGGAGGAAGACAAGCTTAATATTTTTTAAATTTGAAAGTTTGAATGGATGAATGGTGCACTTATCTACCAAGAGAAGAATATTTAATTGTTGCATACCAGTTCTATAATAGATCCCCCACAACTTCAAATGTTTTTTGAGTAATTCAGAAGTCATCCAAACTTTTTGGTAACTCAATCAACACGCATTGTCTTAATATTTTTAAAACTCCGTGGTTTGTCAGTTTTTCCAATAATCAATAACTTTCTTTTTTGCTTCATACCTGTTTGTGCAAACAAGTATTGTAATCTGCTCTTTCAAAAGTTTACCTACCATCCATACATTTCTCTGTGTAAAATTTTAATTCTCTATTGGGCAGTAATTTGAAGACTTTTTTGTAGCATTAAAGATATTTTTTAATTGCTTTTAATCCAATCTTTTATTTGTGATTCATCAACATTGTTAGTTTCACCAGAGATTTTTTTCTCATAAAAATATTGACATTTCTTAAAATGATTGACCCATCTGCAAATGTAATTGAATTCAATATTAAACAATTTCAAAAACAATTCAATGGCTATTTCTTGTAGCATGGTCCCGCTTACTGGAATGTCTCCATTTCTTGAACCACAAGAGCAATGCATCTTCTACATTAGTTTTCAAACAGTTTTGAAATTTGGTCCTAATTTTTTTTTGGTTGATGACTTTAATGGTTTGATTCCATACTCCTTACATACCATATGTCTATTTTATAGTATGAAAAGCTATTATGAAATTCAATACAGTTCTGTGTGTACTGTGGTGTTTTAGCTGTGTATGAATGAACCAGATAAGTTTTTACTGTACAGGAAATCCTCGTTTATTTGAACTCAGATAATTCAAAATACAATTAGTTCGTAACTGTACTTTTGTCTGGCTGAGGATATAGAGATTTATATGGTAAGGAATTCAGTTAGTTTGAAATGTATTTTGAAGTGAAAATTCTATCTGAACTGTGATGTGCATATGTTAAGTCATTTGTTTAGATTGAAGTGCCTCCATGATATAAGAGAACAATAGACCAAGTACAACTTTAATCTGCTCAATATGTCTTTGCTTTTACAGTAACACATTTTTGGGTGTCACCTTAAATATGGACCACTTTTTTTTTTCTTATTTCATAAAATACAGCTGGGTTTCAGGATTTAAAATTGAGATATTTGTAGGGATCTAGGTTTGGGCAACTTAACACTTTTTGGATCACTTTAAAAATAATTAAGGTACATTTCAAGAAATTCCACTGTACTTTTTATAAAACCTATGTTGTAACCTGTGAGGTTCTCACTGGACACATGCTGTTTACCTACATAGTAATTCAGGAAGTTTCATTGTTTAAATATGTGGTCTACTCATTTTTAAATAAATAAATTATATGTTGTAGCACAGTATGTTTACAAAATAGTATAATAAATGTTTATTAAGATATTTTAATAGGCAAATTTTTAAAAAAATTTATTAAATAGGATAATTAAATACACTGACTTTATATTCAGGAAAATGGGTTAATTGAACTCAAAGTTTTTCTTGTTTTAACCATGTTTGTTATAAATGTATTCCACTATATTAAAATTATAACTTAGTTTTTATTAGTTAAAAAAGATATTTCAAGAGAAATCTGCAAGAAGGTTATGAAATCTATCATAATTTCAGTGAAGCTCTTTGCAATGAAATACAACATAACAGGAGCAAAGTTCCACAAGAGTTAGAGATATAATGTTTTCTTATTACAGTTTCATATTTGATAGCACTATTCAGTAAATTTTGAATCATATTAGTTGTATTTCTACAAAGTTTGGTCTTTCTCTAACTATTATACTGAAAATAATGAAGTATTTTCAATTTCATTCAACTCTGATATAATTTTTAAACTATTATACAAATAGTGACAAAGTTTAAAGCATAAATATTAATTAGCTTTCTTTGTTTATGACTTATTCTCTTGTCAGTATTCTTTTTATAATAGTGCATAGTAGTTAGTTTCATAATCTTTTCTGTAGTGTGCTGAAGTTCATAAAATTATGTATGCTGAGATTAGGGTAAAGTTTGCACTATAGATGTGGCAAAGATCCTCATTCATTTAGTATTGGAGAGTTTAATAGAATCAGATAATAATAGAATACTTTACATTTTTAACTAGTATCTTTTTTCATGTTTTATTAAAATTCTACAATTTTAAATTGCTATGTTTTTATACTAATATCCATTGGAATTAGCTGATTCATTCTATAACTAATAGGAATTTGATTAAAATTGACAATGATTTCAAGTATTTTAATTCTATTGTTTGTAGAAAGAATAAAAAATATCTACTTGATATTTATTATGATTTTTTTATTATTTAAAACTGAAATTTTATTACATGTAATTTTGTAATTATTAATTATTACATATAATTATGTAATTATTTATTTTTTTGAAGGTTTTGCACCTAATTATACAACAGGAACAGGTCCACCTGGAACAGGCTATCCATCAGCACCAGGATATCAACCAGCATCGGGATATCCACCAGCACCAGGATATCCACCAACAGCAGGATATCCTGCTGGCTCTAGTTATCCAGCTGGTGGACAATCATACCCATATTCACCAGAATTTTCACAAACTAATCAACCCTATAATGAACCACCACCAACTTATGTGTCAGAAAATAATGGATATGAATCTGATTCAATGAAAGGATGGGAAGGAATTACAGATAAAGCAATCAGACGTGTTTTTATAAGAAAGGTATTATTTATTATATAATTAAATAAATATTGTGTATTACAAATTCCAAGTAAATTTACGTAATATTAACATATATTCAATAATTTTTAAGGCTTGCTTGTAAATTAAACTTTACTGATGAAAAAAATTTGCAATACTCTGAATATGTTTCAGTTTACTCAAGATTATACCTTCAGGTAATAGGCTGGGTTACTGGAAATGATCATGTACAGTATACTAATATATGCACAGGTTCTAAAGTATAGCATATGTCAACAATACTCAGACTGCATCAATATACCATGTACTGTCTTTGAGTGCCAATGCAGGCCTGTACTCTCACATGCAGCCAGTTATACAGATTTATAAATCAAAAACCATTCGTGCTTTCCAGCAAAGGTTTATTGATGTACATGGCTTTATTTTATAGTTAGAAGACCTTCTTGTCACCAGACCTCTCTTTTTACTCTAGACATGGGATTGACCAGAATTACCAGGTTCTGGATGAGTTTAGATAATAGCACCAACTACATGTTGTACTTACATCTTTATATATAGAATGTATGCATCTCTACAATTCTTGAAATATATATATATATTATGTAAATCCAGTTTTGTTAATGAGACACTATTTTGGAAGACCAAAATGAGACTGAGAAATTTTTGTCCAAGATCAAGATTTCTATCAGTATCAAGACATTTCACATTTAAAACCAAAACTAGGTTTTAGAAACTTGTTATGTAACATAGTTACAAAAGTTAATTATTAAAACAACAAAACTGAATTATGCAAATAATGCAATAACTTTAAATTTAGAACATTATTAGCATTACAATGCATTTGCATTTAAGTTACATGCATGCCTAAAACATGTCATGAAATATAAAATTAAAGCTATTCTGTGAAAAAATTACTGATTAAACAGAATAATGTTCAGTAATTCATATTTTTGAGTTATTAATGTCTGCACTAAAAACAAATTTGTTTTTTAAAATTCAATAATATAAATAGCATTAATAATTAGTGGCATAGCATCAAAATATTGTGCCTGTGGCAAAAAGTAAAAAAATTTTTTTCATATATGGTGAAAAGTAAACATATCCTTGATATATATAGTCTCACTTTTCTTCTCCCCAAACTATATATAATTATTATTGATTTACAAAATATTTTTTTATTTTATTTATTTATTGTTTGCTCAATATCTCCAGCTGGGGCATATTAATCATATCATTACTATACCACTTTTTTTTTCTTTTTTTAAAGTTTATTAGAAAATTTATGTTTTTAGTAAATTATTTTGTCATTCAAATTAATTGGGTGATATCTGTTGAAATATTTTAATTTTTTTAACTGTCCATTATAAAAGAACAATGGTCATTAATTGGTTTTAAATGCATATAAAATATGTATGTATGTGATTATCATATTTATTATTTAAAATGCTTATTTAAGTTTATATGTGAAGACTATATAGCAGGGGTGGCCAACCTGCGGCTCGCGAGCCACATGCGGCTCTTCGAAGGATTATTTGTGGCTCTCGATAAATGTACTGTACCCGAGTTCCCTTTTCATTTTTGTGTTATTATATTTTAAAAAATTATTATCGTTTTGTATGTGTTTCAAAATGTCTTTTAAATTACTAACAACAAATATGAAAGACTAAGTGCAACGTTGTAACAAAATTCATTTCCGTTCAAGTTAAGAATGATATGACTCATCGAAAACTGCACGAACGAACATAAACAGTGGCGTAATCGTCTGTTATTGACCGACTCCAGACCGATTTTGAATTTGTAAACTGTCATTGCAATGGACAGTTGACATTGTGCTCTGGAGGAAACAATTTGTATCACTCTTGCTACGGATATATTTTGTAATCTGGAATTTTTTGCATACCTTTAATTGCGGCTCGCGAAAAATTTCAAATTTTGAAAAATGGCTCGGACTATCAAGGAGCTTGGCCACCCCTGCTATATAGGAAAGAATATAATTATAAATGTTTCATTGAGAGAAGAATATCTTAATACAGTTATGCATGAAAATACAGAAGAAAATCAAATTGACTGTTTATCAATAATAGAAAAGTTTCCTATTATGCTGTCAGTTGTTTTAGAAATTGTATTTGAATGCATCATTAATTCTGTGATGCATATTGATGATATAATAATAATTTTTCTGTAATTAAATTTATACAGAAAATTTTTATTTTAATATTACCAAGAATTTTGGCAGTCCATCACTAAAGTTTTGTATAATTTTGTGATATGCACTGTATCTGTGTTGCAATTTATAATTATTTATATAAACAATATTAGTTAAATCCTTACACTCCATACCATCGCAACTTACTTTCTAGTGATTCCACTTGAAAGATATGGAAGTGGATTATGAATAAGAAGAGTTTATTGTAAATAAAGAAAACAAGAAAGTAAAATGGTAGTTATAAATTAAAGTTTAAATTTGGAATTGATAATTCAAATGGAGTGCTTTTTTTTTTTTAAACATATGTCAATAGACATGTTGTAACAATAAGAAAGCTGGTTGGAGAATTTGAAAACATTCTAAAACAGTGTTCACTTAGAACAAATAAGCTCTGAAGAAGGACAAAAAAGTCCAAAAGCACTCAGTTTAATATAAACAGAAAATTGAACTCCATTAAGCAGTATGGAAAGTAAATTAAATAAGAGTAAATAATAAACAAATTTAATGAAGAATAATTGATGGTAAGAGAAGAAAAATGCTGCAATTTAAAATAATGCAGAATAAATTAAAAACAGACATCTTTAAAAAATAAGCAGATTTTGCTTAAGTTGGTTGATGGATGATTGCTATGAAGTTTTGTGAGGCATGTGTTATAGCTCATAATTCATGAACTATTTTGACTGTCAGATTATTTTTTCTGGTAACATACTAAATATCTCTTTGACTATGTCTTTATATNATAAAAGCATCTAGAACACAGTACTTTGTTCTTTGTTTCCCTTTCCTTCTAGAACTTTCCTTTATAACCCTTTTCCCTTGGGGTGGGATTAACAATTCTTGGAACCACTGAGAACAGAGATGAATGAAGTCCTGATGCTGATGAAAGAGGAGAAAGGGCATTCTTTGCCCAGACCTTGAGGTGGACAGACATGAGTTGTGTTCCAGGTTGTGTTTGGCAACAACTGGAAAGTATGAGAGACTTTGATGAAAGGATCAGGTTTTATTGTGGTTACGACAAAACAGTGTGGCAATTAAGTGTATACGTTAGGGGGGCATAAGAATTTTAGAAAGGCTTAGGTGGGGCATAGCACAAAAAAAATGGAAACACTGATCTAGACACTGCACGGCTAGAACTTACAAACTTACCTCAACTCTAGTTGAAGCATTGAATGTCAATTCGTTACCGAATGCTTGCTTCATTTGATGGATTTACCTGAAACTAACTGGACGGCAGACTAACAATGGGGAAAATATACAGGAATCATTTCTTGCATATGTGATTTAGAACTGTACAAATTGGAATTAGAGTTGCACATTTCAAGTAGCACTGTACGTTAAAAAAACACAGATCTAAAAAAGTAGAGCTGATAGAAAAAAACTGATTTCATATTTGGATTCAGCGACCCAAATATAGCTAAAATCAGTTCTAAAATCCTAGGCACCAAAAAAAAAAAACTTTTTTTTGTTGACCTGTGTAATTTTTCATGCATATACTTTTATCATTTATTTTAAATTTAACAAAATAAGTGGAAACAATATAAATGTGATAAATTTAAATGATTTTCAACTTTCAACAATTTTCACAAGCACATTTGACAGCTAATTCAAATCTTTCATATTTAGGTGAAAATTCATAATCAGTAGGATTACAAATTTGGTATGGTGTGTGTAATTGAAGTTTTAAATATGACAAATTGACATGTAATTTCAAATACATTTGGGTTGCATTATGCATTGCCTATAATTGATCTTGCAACAAACCTATTAGTATTCCTAGACCAATTGGGTACCTTTATAAACTTTTTAATTAAGGTGTTTGTATAGAAATGATTAGTCTTGTATATCCAAAAGTTTAATTTATTTATCTTATTATATATTCTTTTTTAATGAAATCTTTGCTATGCATTGTGTATTTGAAATTACAAGTTTGTTTTGAGATTTTAATTTTGCTCTGTTTCAAATTTGCAAATCTGTTCTGATAAATTTTGCATGACAGGATTTAGTATTTTTGTCTTCTGATATCTGTCTCTTATCTGACATTTATCCAATTTAAATAATGTCTTATTGCCTAAATAATTTATTACTGGGAAGATAAATAAATGAATAATTGTCTTATCACTTGTTTAAATAGAAAATTTATTTATTGGACTACAATTTAAAAAACTGTAGACCTATAAATTCCCACTATTGTCTGTCCATCTGTTTGTCTTTCCTTAATCTCAAGAATGGAGTTAGGTAGATGAAAGATGAGACCAGATTTGGAAAGCTTAGGGGCAGGAGGTTCCAATTAACAACATACGAACTTCTGATGCAAGCTGGAAGTTGTGTTATTTTAATTCAAAAATTTTTCACTGAAAGATGTTAGCTAGATGAACAGCACAACTCTATTGTTAATGGAAAAGAATGATTTACAGGGGCAAACACTACTAATTTGGGGTGGAGAGCATATATTTTAAATTTAAAAAAATTAAAAATATGATTAAAAATTGCAACCTGGCATTGTGATGATGTCACAATAAATAATTGCTCATTACATGAGTAATCACAACAAACACACATACAGAAAAAACTTGTGTATACATATACAGTATATTGGGATTATTTGTGTGTATAGAGTTGTCAAAATTGAAAAGTGTTTTAATTATTATTTATAACAATTTAATATGTTATTTCTTTGTGTAATTATTTACAATTATTAAAATAACAACTTAATAATTTAGAATAATAAAAAGCATTCTACAATTTAGGATAATAATAATAATATGTACAGGTAACCCCGTATAACACGGTAGTTACGTTCCAAAAAATTGCCGTG